CGGCGACATAATGAGTAAATGATCTACAAGGAAGCCCAACGAAAAAAGTCAGGATTTTGAGTAAGAAATCGACCAAAATATCACCAAATATGGCCGAAATAATGCATGCACAGTCACAGGTGAAGAAAATCAAAGTTTTGGAGAAAGAAGCAGACAGACCTTTGAAATCCAAGTGGAATCTCCCCAAACGAAGCCCTACCCAAATCTAAAACTCTCTTGGCCAAAAGCCAAGTGTAATACAGATGGATACTCCAATAGGTACACGAGTCTAAACTGTATTCCTACCCTCAACAGGAAGTTTCTGGAGAATATTAATCAGAATATTCTTAAGGATAACCTGATGAGCTCTCAATGGATATATCAACTCAGTGGTAAAAGCTGAACCCACAAGAGCAAGTACCAATTTCAATTCAAGATCTCGACAACGGTCAAACGATAAACGCGACGCCTGGAAGACATTAGCTATTCTACAAAGAACTGAATAGACTAAAAGCAACAGAGATCAAGCATTGAAACCATTCACAAGTCCTTTCACACGATCTACTCAACCAAGCATTGAAGGGATCGTAAGTAAAGTCTATCTTATCTAAAGTATCCCATGCTTCTCTATAAAAGAATGAGTCTGGAATACTTTGGAGGGGGTATCTGTAGGCGTCAAAAAATGCTAATAGATATCCCAAACATAGAGAAAATCACTCAAAGGGATCTCATATTGAAGATCAAGTCAGGAATGAACTGTCTCGCCAGCGAGACAGGCTTTGCTGTCTCGCCAGCGAGACAGGCTTTGCTGTCTCGCCAGCGAGACAGGCTTTGCTGTCTCGCCAGCGAGACAGGCTTTGCTGTCTCGCCAGCGAGACAGTATTTGCTGTCTCGCCAGCGAGACAAATGTTGAAATGGTCAAAACTACCTTGATAACTGCCCTACACGTGTCCATCAACTGCCAAGGGACGTGGAAAACATCGTGGGCGAAAATCACGTGAATAACTGCCAAAATAACGGAGTTTGAAACGTGGAAAGGCAGTTACAGCGAGAAACTGCCAGGAATATTCGTTTTCCGAGACAGTATTTTACTGTCTCGCCTGTCTCGCCCAGCGAGACAGTAAACACTGTCTCGCCAGTCTAACTTCATCGTTGTTTGAGTTTTGTGCAGTTATTACCCCAGAGGCTATAAATACCCCCCTAGGGTCATTTCTGACGAGGATCGAGCATATTTTCGAGCATTCCAGAGCAGAGAGCAGATTTGAGTTTTCATACAACGCTTTAAAATTAAGCTTTGACTTGATTTTAAGAAGAACGACTATCTTACTTCGATAAGATATCGTTTCAATTTCTCACTTCGATAAACGAAGTCAGAATCAGTAAACCCCCTCTTCACGATCTGTGATTCGGCGGTCCACGAACCAAAGCGTTCCCGGCACAGGCAAAGTCCCACGAAATAAGATATCGTTTCAAGTTCTCACTTCGATAAACGAAGTCAGAATCAGTAAACCCCCTCTTCACGATCTGTGATTCGGCGGTCCACGAACCAAAGCGTTCCCGGCACAGGCAAAGTCCCACGAAAACAAAGATCGATAGACGATTTTTGTGTTTGTTTCTCAAAAGTTGTAATTTTTGCTTTGTTGTGTAAAAAGATGTCTTATAAAAAGACTATTTCTTTGAATTTATTGTAATCGCTTGAAGATATAATGAATTCCTCAACAGAACCGATTTTTGACTCAAACAAGGATCAGTACGACGCAACACCATCTTAGATAGAGTAAATGTGGATGACGAGTATGTGTGAATAGTAGATAGAACCGATTTAATCAATTTAGCCTTATCCACCAAAGATACAGCCAGTGTTGCCAAGACTGAAGTCATTGTTGGACTGAATCAATAACGGGTGCACACAAGTTATTACACAATCTAGATGAAAACAAAGGCAAACCCAGATAGCTAATAAAAAGGGAGCCCTCATGGTTCAAATGATGGCAAATTGCTGTGGTTACTTTTTTCACATTTTTTGATGGCCGGATAGAGTGGATAACCGTGCAAGAACGAGTTTAATTATTCTTGCATTTCTCTTAGTAGCATGAGAAAATATCATCAGATTTGCTGTAAAGACAATGTGGGATACCGAAAACTTACCAAGGGTTTAATTACCCTCTTGAACTGCATCATCAAGCAAGCGAGAGAGGAATTGTATGAAAAATGTGAACAAGTAGGGAGCCATTGGAATTCCTTGGCAAATTACATTTGAAGATTTAAAAGTTTCCATAATTCCTATCATTGAGCAATATATAGAATGTTGTGACTTGTTGTAGGCATTGTTGTAGGCATGCATGAATAGATAAACATTAGCTATTATAAAAAACATTATCCAAGTGTGCAACTTAAATATTTCTTTTTGCCATCATACTTAAGACTTGACAATCAATTGCAAGTGTGTGTGTTTGTGTGTTGTGTGTATAGAAAAATGGGTATGCTTGGTTACAAACATAAACATAATATCAAACACAAACTTTGTGTTTTGTAGTGAGGTGACTTATTCCTGTCCACTCATCTCAAGTGGGGGGCCACATTCACATGGGTTGGATAATTAAAGGGTGATCATTTTCAAGTAGGGATTGAATGAGTAAATAAAAATATGCTGCCTCACTACCAAGCACAAACTTTGTGCTTGGTACTAAGGGGTTGTTTGCTTCACCTATTTTATAGAAAAGTTTTGGAAAACTTTTGACAATGGTATTATCATGAATAATTAATTTTTGTAGATTTCTATGAACTATGTTTGGTTCCAAAAAAATTATAGAAATATTTTCTATAAAGTAGGGAAAAGTGTACTATTTTATAGAAATCAACTTCCTCCCCAAATGGGCAGAAATTGCAAGGAAAATGTTATGTTAAAATATTAATAAAGTACACCCGTGCCGCTTTTCCATAAAATTTGAAATTGCCTAAAAATTTGAAATTGCTACATTCTTGTATGAGTTTCACTTTTCTATAAAATTTTCTTATCCAACCAAACAAAAGAAAAAGAAAACGACCTATTTTCAATAAAGTTAGAAACTCATTTTCATGTTTTGAACCAAACAAAGAAATAGCAACAAACAATAAAAGTAGTACTTTTTGAGTTTTGTAAACTTCTACAATTTTTTATAGAAATACAAGGAAATTAATTTCTTGACACTTTTCATTTTCCTTTTTTTATAAAAATCGAACCAAACACCACCTAAGCATACCCATCTCTCCCCCCCCTCTCTCTTATATATATATTAGTTTGTGCTTGGTACTAAGATACATCTCTTTCTTTTTCTCTCTCTCATCTCATATATATATATATATATATATATATATTATATATATTTTATATATATATATATATATATATATATATATATATATATATATAATATATATATATATATATTCATGAATTTGAATTGAACCTATTGTATTCAATATTCAACACTCAGTATCCTTATCCATTCCGTGAAAAGTTAGCTGAAATTCTTTAAAGCTCCTAAAAATAAAACAGGGTTTTGATAAGTTTGACATTTATTAGGCAGAAATGTGTTGCCAAAAGTAACATGCTGGTTAGATTTATGATTTTGTTGACCTATAAATTATTGATCCATCTATTAGATCATGGTATAAACAACTAAAAGCCCTTAAAAATCCATTTTAGTTTCGCCTCAAAAGTCATAAGCCGCTAAACTAAGAAACGTGTTACTAAGCTGTCTTTTATGTGCACACTTGATGCATGGGGAAAAAAAGCTTAAGTATTTGGCTTTTGATATTTAAACACTTTAATAGACCAAAGTTAGAGCGAAATGAAATATTAACTTATTGTTCCTACTATTGACTAAGAGCATTTTAGGCAATCCTAGGTTATAATCCACTTAGGTTATAATCCATTTTAGTTCATAATCAAAGTGGATTAAAATTTTGGTTGTTTTGTAAAGAGTGTGGTTTTTGACCAGAAATAACCCTTAAAAAGGAGACAGAAGGAGAAAGAGAGGGTTGTGGAAAAGTGATGTCATTTTGTCTTTTCCTTGGTCAAACATGCGGATTATATAATCCACAAAAAATAACCTAGGGATCCTAGGTTACTAGTTTGGTGGATTATAATCCAAAATAAACCATTCAAGATGTGGTTGCCAAAGATGCCTTAAACCCTTCCTAAAGGAGCCATCTAAAAGTATGCTCGCACTACATGTGAATAAAAGGCCAAAGTTAATCTAAAATTATCAGCACAGTGGGAGAACTTTAGGTTTGGAAAAAGTTTCAAATTTCAATTACAAAGTTTGAAAAAAGTTCTAATAGCAAAGTATATTGTTTGCCTTTTTTCCAACTGCCCGTTTGCAAGGTAGTTAGTACCTTCTGATACCAACCTTTTAGTTGGATGCGTTTTTTTGGGACACTTATTGATTGGAATGGTTTGTTATTGAAAACAATAAAAAGTGAAGATTTTATGTTAAAATTCTTGTAATGAAAATGTAATAGCCATACCCTCAGGCCAAACCCCAGCCTGTTCTTGGATGTTGGGGGTTCTAAAAAGGCAGCTGAACTTGGCATATGATACTAAGAGTTTGGTCCATGCCAACCTCTGACTTCTTAGGTTGTGGTTTCTAGTTGAGCTTGGATTTTGCTCCAGTTAGTTACCTGAAATTTGTTTCGGATTCATGAAGTCTGGATTGGAAGGTTCATACACAAACTTTTCCAAATATTATTTTGTCATCTAGGAGTCATCACTATCATTGTTTACCCTTACTGATAGGATTATCTGGGCTAAGGGCAGTTCTATCGTAATGATAATTCGGATATAAGTTTGACTTCATGTGCTTCTTTTACAGAAGATATCTTGTATTGCATTGCATTGTACTCATGTAAAATCTTTAACTGAGAGGCTAGAAAAACCTAGTTATACATCAAATCTGTGCACTATATACATGCTTACACAATTGATGCGTGCTTTTATATATTAATACCAGCCACTTAGAACATGAATGTTTTTGCAGGAAAAATTATTTGTCTCTCTGGGCCTCCGGGTGTGGGTAAAACTAGCATTGGTCGATCAATTGCACGCGCACTAAATCGAAAATTCTATAGATTTTCTGTCGGAGGCTTAGCTGATGTGGCTGAGATCAAGGTACATGAAAGAAGTCATTTAAACAAAACCGTTCAGTGTTTAACGATGACTCCATCTTATATATTAATTTTCAAACCATCTTAATGAACGTCTTCTGTGTGGAATAACAGGGACATCGTCGTACATATATTGGTGCTATGCCAGGAAAGATGGTGCAATGCCTAAAAAACGTGGGGACAGCTAATCCTTTAGTTTTAATTGATGAGATAGACAAGGTATTATTCTGTTTATTTATATTTGATTTTCATGAAAATGAGTTTGGTCTTTCATCCTGCATAGTAATTGCATTTTATCATTTTCAGCCTATTTTGCGTAGTTTATTCCCATATATTGATATTCATTGTACAACAGCTGGGTAAAGGACATGCTGGTGACCCAGCTAGCGCTATGTTGGAGCTACTGGATCCTGAGCAAAATGCAAATTTCCTTGACCACTATCTTGATGTACCCATTGATCTATCGAAGGTAAGTAACTTGCTGTAAAATAGCCATACAGATAATTCTATAGGTGTCTCCATTATTTAGTCATTTGAGGCATTTGATCGTGAGATGAATTCTATTTTATAGTGTTGCATTTTGGGATCTGTAGTCGAGATGAGAGGCCCACTGTTGCTCATTTGAAACTATTCAATATGTTAAGGTTAGGCTATCGATGAATCTGATTAGTCATTCAAGAAAAAATTCTGACTTGAACAAGGACCTTTTTTTCCTTGGAAAGGTTGCATCTATGATATATTTCCCCCCACTGGGAGCTCATGTTAGGTGATACATTCCTAAATCTTTTTACAAATACCGTCATTTGCTAATGCCTAGTATGATAAGTGCACCTTTCTTTGTAAGTAGTTTAGTTATTGGGTCTTTAACATGTATGATAGTGGAGAATCATAGTACAAAGGGTGGCTACTGATCTGAGTTTTCATATACATGGCCAATGGGTAGTGCTTGATATGTAGAGTTACAGGATAAAAACATTTTGTTCTATTTTATACTCCTTTTCCTACTCATTTATGTATTTGTATCTACTTGATGGTTTTTCTTAGGACTAGTGGCCAGAGCCCTTGGCTTAACCAATTAGATACGTCCTCCTAATTTGATAATTATCTGTTGGCCTGTGAGGAAACCTCTCTCCTGTCCCTAGCTACTGCAGTTAAATTTAAATTTCTTGCCAAAGCAGAGGGTTAGCACCCAACTGACATAGGGACATATAACATTGTCAAAATTTTAGAATCTTCTGAAGTATTCACTTCTTTGCATGATATTAATAATTGGCTGTTGCAGTTGCCGGTTCTGATTATTTAGAACCATCTTGCTGAATTTTGACGCTGAGTGTAGGCTTTCTTAGCATTCACGTTGAATTTCTGCTGATAGCTTGTTTCACATTGAACACAGACAAAGCAGAAAATTTTCTTATGAGAGATCATACGATATGTGGATTGTTTGGCTCTTCATTGCAGGCCACGGTCAACTTCTCAAGTTTAACCTATCTTGTTCCTAATATAATCTATTGATATTTTTGTTATTTTGTTTTTAGTATTTTCTGAATTTACAATGTCCAGTTTACTATTTTGTAACATTGTACCATACGTAGTTTCCATTTGCATCTATAGTTGCTTGTTTTAGATGGATTTGTATACATTATGTCATCTTTCAATGTAGGTGTTGTTTGTCTGCACTGCCAATGTAATTGATATGATACCAAATCCTCTCCTGGACAGAATGGAAGTTATCCCTCTTGCTGGTTATATCACAGATGAGAAAATGCACATAGCAAGGGACTATTTGGAGAAGACAACTCGTGAAGCTTGTGGTATCAAGCTGGAACAAGTAGGTTTTCATGGCTTGATATTTCATGTTTCATTTCTTTTTGGTATCAGAACTAGCTCACATTTTTGCAGGTGGGGGGCTCCTTTTTCATATCTAATTCATTTTCAGCAGGCTATTCTTTTGTCACCAAAATTATTCATTCTATAACAGTTGTGGTTTTTCTGGTCTTGGTGGCAAAATAATGATTAAGCAAGCCATCAGGATAAAAAAAAGAACAACTTGATTACAAAGTATTGAATTCTAATATAGTGGACTGGTTGTATGGGAAAAAAATGAAAACAAGAATGTAGGTGTTGCTGACATAAAGGCGAAATATAACATAAATAAAAGCATGTGACCCTGCATTATGAAATGTGTAAGGCACATTTTGAAAGTCTATATGTGATCCTAATCATATCAGGAATAAATAATTCATGAAGGAATAACAACTTGAACCAAGATCAAACTCATGATGTACAATAATTTGTTAAATAGAGTAATCGGGTTACCTCACAAAGTTTCACAAGTGCAAGCCTCCAAAGTTTCACATGCAATGTTCTTTGATGAATTTAATTCATCTCTTACTTATTAAAAAGTGATGGCTTTTTTTTTTGGATTGGATCGATACTTAGAATAAGGTTTCTCAAACCTTATATAGGTAAGTCATCTCCCTTGTGTACTTATGACATTTGACCATTGTACTTATTATCTTTATTAAGGTGAAACAATTATGAAATTAATATCTTTATAAAGTCAAACGGTTCATAGCTTTTATTTTGTAATTACATGATGATTAGTTTCATGACTTATGATATTACTAAGTCATAACTTTATTCATTCTAAGCATTAATTTTAATAACTAAGGTATATAAGAACATGTAGCTTGGGACCCATTTAGGACCTTTCTTCTCCATAGTTTAGTCCCTACTAATTTAGTTGTAATTATGTCCATTAACAAACTACAACTTTCATATAAAGGACAGAGATTTAATTGTGAGATCCCTGCATCACAATAATGTACATTATACTCCTTCCATCAACTAATATTCTATACAAGTTTATTGGATTAGACTTCCATAGTCATCAATCCAGAAACTTAAATGTGCATCTCTTCAATATAATTGAACAAAAACATTTCAGAAAATGCATTTACTAAAATATATATCTAATATGTTTTAATATATAAAGTAAAGTATTTGCTAAAATATTCTTCAAAATTGACCAGCTTGATTTAATCCAATATATCAAAGATATAATCCAGAATATTCTCTTCTTTAGAAGTGACAGATTTTTTATTAAATGACTACAAGCCTTCACGTACTCATTATATGGTCCAATATGTCCGTATATAGCCTCCGATTAGGCATCACCAGTTGACAAAATCAAAACTATATAATTTATACATAAGATTTAATAACATTCTCAAGTCCAAGGATTTTCGGTATATTGTGATTAGAATGAATCTTCTTCATGACAGTAGTGATAGGTCTAAGATTATAGAATTGGCCCAGTTTAATATTTTACTCCACAAATATTCACAAGTTACTACGAGTCTCTACTCTAGTGGTTGAGACACACCACTCTATCACATATAGTAGTTCAACCCGCGACAACCATAAAAGAGAACGTTGTCCTGATAGTGTTCATGAGTTGTGAACGAATTTAAGACCACAAGAAAATAAAAGTTATGTCTCCCTGTTAGTAGTATATTACTAACTTAATTTCTATACAAATGTAATCTAAGGATAACTCATATCATAATATGAAATAATACCTATGAATATGCATGCAAAATCTTCTTTATTATCATATAATAAATTTATTGGCTTTGTAGAGCATACAACTCTTCCACAGTTGTCAAGGAGAGTCAGCTTTTGTAAAATTTCGTTATAAAGAGTATAAGAGAGACCAACAAAAAATTGGTCATAAGTTCTTTAAGCTATATATATCTAATGAAAAACATACAATAGGTTGTTATTTAGCCCTTCATCAGTAGAGAAATGGTTCTATATTGGCTGTAGAAAACAATTGACAGAATAGTTGGCCGATTAGGTTCAATTTATTTATTTACGTGAAAGAATAATTTTAGTGTCATTGCTTGTCAATCTTATTGAAAATTCACTTATATTTTTGTCTCCTTTAATTTTTCATGAAATATAAAATAAAATAAACATTTGGAATGAAGTGGTGAATCTTTTTTTTGAAGTTGAAATGTTTTATGCTGACTATTATATATTTGGGGTCTGTAGTTTGTAGCTTCTTACAAAGGTCTCGTTATTTTGTATCAAATATAAGCAAAGTTGTAAATAATAAAATATTGGTAACTTCCGGATAGTTTTTTGTGGCAACATAATTTTAGGTGCATAAAGCAAAGGGAACAAGGGTTATCATGAATACATATTCTTTAACTGTCTTTGTCTTTCTACTTATGTTTTATATACCATTGACATTGGCATCTTTTATGCTCAAAGTTGTTAAATAAAAATAAGATAACAACAATAACAATAGCAAAGCCTCCTGTCTTAGATTCATCGGGGTCATGATGAGGGACGATTGTCAGAAAACTATGATAGGGAGATTGTCGGAGAACTTATTGGAGGTCGACGATGGTGAAGGGTGGGTAGTTGATGATGGTAGGAGGGCACATGGGGATTTAAATATCGGATATTGAGGAAATATCAGACGCCCAAAAATCTGTATCGAATTGTAGATATCAGGGATATTTAGTAAATATCAGTGTGCCATATTAGATAATGTGCATATGTAAGATAATGTTCTAGATTGTAATCTAAACATACTTTATGCAATCCAAGCATACAAGTAATATATATTTATGATCACTAACCATTTGTAAAAACTTACTTGGGAAAAGGGCATATTAAAATTTTGCTAAAAACATCACGAATATGGGATTTTCGCTAAAAAAATTAAATAAATTTTGTAAAACTATATTGTCTTGAGACAAGATTTATAAAAGTATATATTGTCTAACATATCATGTGATATATCGGCTATGTCTGGGATATATTGCCCAAAAATTGTCAAAAAGCGGTAAAAGGATATTTAGACCATATCGTTTTGCGGCAAGCTTTATAAAAAGATATATTGAGGAATATTTAAACAATTAATGCAACGACTATTTGAGGAGGGAATAAATAGATCTAATATAACAAAAAAAATAATAATATAAAAAGATAAACTTGGTAGGACGAATTCACTCAGCAAAAATTGCTCAATGCTGATTTCACGCTAAAAGAATCACCCCAAATTCCAAAATCATCTCTTATAACTCAAATTTTATTCATCAATCTTTCATCCCTCCTAAAATGGAGAAATACAACCCCTTTGACTAAGAGAAAACAAAATCCTGAGAAGATAGCAACAAATAAAATCATAACCAACTAATATTATCAAATAAAATTGCAACTAATCCTAATTAATTAAAATATTACCTGAAATGTAAATACCAGGAAAAATAAAATATTAACAAATAATTCTAATCCTAACTAAAAAAATTCCAAATTCATTGTCCTACATAAAAAATCTCTCTTTAAATTCGGCGCCCTCGTAGAAAATTCTAACTGACCATAGGCTTCGTGTTGTGTCATCATGAAGGCTTTGGATCTTACTTGGGCTCGGACTGAGATTTAGGATATTGTGATACTTGAGATCCTGAAGTATGTCTTTTCCTCCTTTTTGAAGAAAAGAAGGTGGTTTTGATCCTTTGCTTTGCATTGCCAAAATAAAACCTGTCACGTCCCATGACTCACATTCATAGAGTATACAACAGGATGACTAACATTTACACTAATTCCTATTTGTATATGCTAGCTACACCATTTTATAAAATACAGCTTACAAAATTTTCACATATCACATCTAGATATAATGTACAACATCAATTGATAAATGATAAATACTCAAATAATATCTCTAAAAGTCTCAATAAAGAACTTGCCCAAATGACATAATCTCAAAGTCAACAAAGATAACAACTATAGAATAGCAACTAGGCGACACTCAAGGCACGGGTAAACCACGACAAAGTCTGAACATAATAATCATCAAATACTAGTTATTCTTGAGCTAATAAACAACTCCAAAGGCAATCTCCTATTGATCCGCCTCCTGGCTAAGTACTTTTGGTCATGATTCTAATCTAAATATACCTGTCCATTAGCTGGAAGAAGCATGAGGTCCCTAGATGGATAATAGGGTTGTATAAAGCTTCAAAGAAAATAAGAAATGCAAGCATCCTACATATTTACTCATAGTAGCATCCATATATAAGATACTAGATTTGCAAAGCTCTGTAAAATGCGATTAAAAATAGTTATGAAAACATGAGATATGAAACAATAAAACAACTTAAATGTCCTATTATCGAGTAGTGTGACTAAAGTCCACATAGTAAGTGTCAATTATAATGTTTCTATTTGAAATACAATGTTAGGAACTCGTGTCAAAAGGGGGACATAGCTATCTTTCTGGCTCTATAGCAATTGATTAGTCATACACTAGGTGCCCTTATCATGTCCCCATTCCGCGATGAAACCTATGTTCGATATTTCCCCTTTAAACCCCTCATTTTACATTTTATTAAGTAGAGGCTGCATACCCCTCATTTTACATTTTATTAAGTAGAGGCTATATACAATACGCTATTCACTAGAACTCGTTATCTGAAGCATTTAAAGATTGTTCACAGTGACATTCACGATAGCCGCTACCACACCCCTATACGTGGAACAAGTAGACAACAAGTATAAAATGAAACCCCATGCTTGCATTAAACTGTTGGTGTATAGCGATACTTGTTTGTGTATCACTCCCATGGTTCATCACGACAACGACAAAAAGTGCATTATATGACAACATGTCATGTTTATCCATTTCATATACTCGTTAACCAATCATCAATTGTTTTTCATTTCATGTCTAATGGCATGCTTATGCATGCTTAGAACCGACAATGAGGCCACGGTGGTCCCATCGGCCGTTTAATCGGCAAGGGAGTGGGTCTGGACCCCTATATCGTTACCGAGTTGTAATTTTTTATAGTTTTGATCGTGTTAAATATAAATATATAAAACTCAACTCTCACCATAACTATTAGAGTTTTGATGTAATGGTTAGAGGGACCTTAACATGGCATTGGAGCAATCCAAGTTTAAATCCCTCCAGCCACAAATTAGTAAGCCGATTTTCTAAAAATTGACATCGCTACGTGGGTCCAGGTTTTAGCTAATAAAAAGGATGCTCAACCTGCAGAGGCATGTTATAATTTAAATACATATTCTCAACCCTCACTATAATTTTTGAGTTTTAGTGTATTGGTTAGACGGATTTTAACAAACCCTTTGTGACATTTTTAATACATGTTTTAGACCCCAGTGATGATTAGTGACAAGTTAGGGACACTGACATGCTTGAATGAGTTTGTGAATACCTTTTCGGTAGAGAACATAGATAGAAACGTTTTAGGGTCTAGAACAGTTGTATATAGCGACAAGTACGAGAATTGGGAAGTCAGACATGTCATTTGACATGAATTGAAAAGTAATTAGTGAATTGATTGGTTAATGAGAATATCAAATGGATAGACACAACATGAGGTCGAATAATAAATTTTTTAGCGTCGACTTGATACGGGGGTGATACACAGACAATTAGACAAGTATAGTTGTACACCAACAGTTGAATGTAGGCATGGGGCAAATCTTGTACTTGTTGCCTACATGTCTAAAGTATGGAGGTGTGATAGTGACTATCGTGAATGTTGATGGTTCATGGTAGTGATGGTGGGCAAACTTTAAATGTTTGAAATAACATGACGTAGTGAATAACCTGTTGTATACAATACTTAATAAAATGTAAACCAATGGGTTTAAATGGGAAATATCGAACGCAGGTTTCATCAGCGGGGTGGGGACATGATAAGGGGGCTTAATGTATGACTAATCAATTGCCATTGAGCTAGAAAGACTGCTCTGCCCCCCATCTGACACGAGTCTCCTAACATTGTATTCTAAATAAGATCACTATAATTGATACTTAATAGGTGGACGTTAGTCTACACTACACGATGGTATGACATTTATATTGTTGTTTTATTGTTTCGCATATCATGTTTTTATCACATTTAAAGAGCTTTGCTAATTGAATATTTTATATCTGATCCAGAGTGCTGCTATGACTACATATGTTGAATGCTTGTATTTCCTGTTTCCTTTGACACTTCATACGAACATATTGTCTGTCTGGGGACCTCATGTTTTTTTAGGTAACGAATAGTATATCCAGATCAAGACCAAGAGTATTTTAGTCAAGTGGCGGATCAGTAGGACATTGCTTCTGGAGTCGCTTATTAACTCGAGCAATTAGTGGTTGATGATTGTTATGTTCACATTTTGTAGTTCTTTTCCCCGTATTTTGAGGATTGAGATATCTACTTGTTAGTTTATGGAGGTTATCTTTGGTGACTTTGAGATTATGTCACTTTGGCAAGTTATTTATTCAGACTTTTAGAGATATTATCTGAGTATTTTTTATTTATCAATGAATATTGTACATTATATCTAGGTAATCAATATTGTACATTATATCTAGGTAATCAATATCGTACATTATATCTAGGCGTCATGTGTCGAAATGTGTGTAAAACTGATATTTTATAAGATGGCATAGCATATATAGCTAGGAATTAGCATATGTGTTGGCCATCCTGTTGCATACTCTGTGAACGTGGGTCGCTAGGCATGATCGCTGATGTCCAAGCTGCAAGGGTGAATCCCTTGGGCTCTGATACCAAATGATGTGGTTGCTGGTTGGTGATGATTGTTGGAGGGCAGCGACTTTAACTTCATTGACAGGCTTTGTTTGTTGGCTGATATTTGAGGAGCGAATAAATAGATCTAATATAACAAAAAATGATAAACTTGGTAGGCTAGCTTCACTCTTAGCGCCTAATCACATAATGTGGCTTCACGCCTATGGAAGCCTTCCAAAATCATCTTTGGAAACTCGAATCTTATTCATCAATTTTCCATCCCTCTAACATGAAGAATACAATGCCTTTAATAGGAGCAAACTAAGAGAAAACAAAATTCTAGGAAGATAGCAACAAATAAAATCTTAACTAGTTAATAACATCAAATAAATTGCAACTAATTACTAATCATAACTAATTAAAGTACTAACTGAAATGAAATTGACATGAAAAATAAAATCCTAATAAATTTTCCTAATCCTAACTCAAGAAATGCTAGATCCATTTTCTTCTGAATTAGGTCAGCTACATGGAGTCATGGAGTCCTATTTATCCATTCAGTTTTTTTATGCGTATCACGTCCATTGAGTTAACCATCACCACTGTCATATACCTCGCTTGAATCTCTGCATGAGTTATGTCACAATTTTGACTTATAATTATATCATGGAGTGCTATTTATCCATTCAGTTTTTTTATGCGTATCACGTCCATTGAGTTAACCACTACCACTGTCATATACCTCGCTTGAATCTCTGCATGAGTTATGTCACATTTTGACTTATAATTATAACCTCCATAAGGTGTGTGACATGAATTTTACCACAAGATGACATTAATCACTACTCTTAGAACAGGCAAGGTACATGATATAATGATGCAAATAACTATTGTCTTAAACGTCTTTGTATCACCTGTTTCACGAGAACAAAAAATATTTTGAATTCCTTCTGTTTCCACATAATTTATCAACATCTTTATGAGTAAGATATAGTTTGTTATTGTGCCTGTATTAACCTTGTCTTGGGATACATGGACAGGCACATAAGATACATGCAGAGACATCTTTCGCGGCCCCTCTTTCATGAATAGTTTCTGGCTAGGAATTAATAACGAACTTGAGAAACTGCTTCCACTAAGTTTGTCTCCTGATGTTTTTTTTTCTAAATTATGCATATTGGTGTATTTCATCTTTACTTTGTGCAAGAAGTATTATTTGGACCTTTGGCTAGACACTTCTTTCTCTCTTTTTGGCTAGTTCTGGAAATGTCAACTTTAAGCTCCCTCAAATGTGTTCCTTATGTTTGTGCTAATGCCATCGTATTAAAAATCTAACATTTGGATCATTACTGGCCAGGTAGAAGTGACAGATGCTGCTCTCCTTGCGCTAATACAGAATTACTGCCGAGAAGCTGGTGTCCGGAATCTTCAAAAGCAAATTGAGAAAATATATCGCAAGGTCAGCAAATTTATTGTGCATGATATTATATTATATGCCTTAACCTTATTCAGCTAGTTTGTCTTTTTAATTCCCTTCCTGTTTTGTTAAAAATTTCTCACAGTAGTGGAGTCACTTAAGACATCTGAATATTTAATTAGGTTTTGATTCTTTCAGTGAAATTCATACATCTTCTTGTAACTTGACATGCATACCTGTTCCACCCACACCCCCCCCAAAAAAAAAAAAAAGACCTCGTGTTTATCTTGGAGGAAGTTCTATGCTTAGTGTTCTTAAAATGGAATGAAATCTAAGGTTAAGATGATGATATACTTCTGGTAGTTCAAATCTTTCTCACAAAAGTTGGAAATATTTTATTCTAAGTATCTTCACAAGTTTGCTGGGTCTATTGAATTGTAACACTTTTGACTAAGAGTTTATCTGACCATTTAAATTTTTTGCGTGTAGTTTTCTTTGTCGTGCTCATTGAGCATTATGGTTCTTTGTGGTTTCTGCAAATAGAATTGCACATAGAAATATACATGGATATAAATATGGATGTTCATATTTGTGCATTTTAAAACATGGATGCAGATATGGATATTGCTACCACTCAAAGTATATGCAAAGATCTTCGACTATCTGAATTTGTATTATTCTGAATATATAAACATATATTAGATTGCGAATAATTAGGGTATGTTTAAGTCTTAACCGATAATACTTGGGTGCATGAATGAATGAACCATCCGACGTATTCAAAAAGATATCCAGTATATTGTTATCCTATGTAGCACGGACACAGATCCGACACGGCCATCCGACACGGCCATCCGACACGGCGACACGAGGCAAATCCTAAAAAATACATAGGATACGTGTGTTCGACACGTGTGTCCGACACGGACACGACACGACTTCATGTTATGCGTGTCCGTGCTTCATGTTATCTTCCATATAGTTAAGCGTACCCGGGACTCAATATAGACTGAAGTTTACCTAAGTATTAAGTAACGTTAGCATAAAGAATATCACTATGTATGTGAAGATTGAAGGTTTAACTGGTTTTCTTTCTTTCAAATTATAGTTATTGTCATATCTCAATACGTTCAACTTTTGTTAAAAAAAAAGTTTGATATCTACCACGCCCATTTACAATCATACACAAATGTTTTTGTTCTTTTTCCTGTAAATTTAGAATACAATTTCTTGTACAGTTTCTTTCCTTCAATCCTCGTCTCTCTTTAACTAAAAGCAACCTTAACTTAATGGGACTTTTCATACCTTGCTCATCTTCCACTGATTTAGAAAGCTTTGAAGACTTTCCTCTGTGTTATTTGGTTCAAGAGTCATTTACCATCATATCTGCAAGAACATAAATGGCGTCATGCTTTCAATCCTAACAGATAGCTCTGCAACTTGTACGTCAAGGAGTATCAAATGAACCATCACGAGTTGTTTCTAATCAGCAAGAAACGAAAGAATCCAGTGATTCTTCTGATAAAGAATCTAATGAGACGGAATACCAGTTGGAAAATAAAACTGAGGATGATAGCTCACGTGAACAAGTCATTGAAACTAGCTCGAAACTTCCAGAATCAAGTGAATCTAGCTTACATTGTCAGGCTGACTCATCCACTGAATCAGATCAACTGGATGGTGAGAAGGATCCTGCAGATTCCCTGGGGAAGGTTGGTGATAGTGCCAGAACAAAGCAAGAAATTGAGGTACTGAAACTTTAAATAAATTTTATTTTCTGCACCTTTTGTGTCTAATAGCAGTAGAGGCTGAGTTTTTTCTGAACTTTTTGCGCTATACAACTAAAAACTCCATGTTTTAACAACTTCTTGGTGATGGATATGTTTTATGATATTATCTCGTAAAATTATGATGATATAAAAAAAAATCAAAGCTTCTTGCGTTTTGTTACTTCAAATTCCTGAAGGAATACTTCTTATATTGTACTAAATTTGACCATCACAGGTGCTTTATACTCTACTCTTGTGAGGCTGGTATTAGAACCATGCGGAAGCTTTTACATCTAACCTTTAAAAACTAAATCAATATTGATCAAACTGTGGAGTCTCTTTCATCTCATCTTCGAGCTGTCATAATATTATGGAACACGTTTGCTAGTATATTATTAAACTTTCATACTCTACAGCGACCATAGATCAGAAATCACGTCTAATTGTCATTGTAACTGAAGTAAGGTTCGGTTTTAATTTGTTTTGTTGACAGGTCAATTTGGGGTCAGATGAGGTCAAGCAAGAAACAGGTAATGCTAAGGTCGAAGAGGTCGTAGTTGACGAGTCAAACCTTATTGATTTTGTAGGGAAGCCAGTTTTTCATGCGGACCGAATTTACAGCCAAACCCCTGTAGGAGTTGTCATGGGTCTGGCTTGGACCTCAATGGGTGGTTCCACATTGTATATAGAGACCGCCCAGGTTGAACAAGGAGAAGGAAAAGGCTCACTTTTGCTAACAGGGCAGCTTGGAGACGTGATGAAGGAAAGTGCTCAAATAGCTCATACAGTAGCCAGATCAATATTAGGGGAGAAAGAGCCAGAAAATCGTTTCTTTGCAGACTCTAAGCTCCATTTGCATGTTCCCGCTGGCGCTACTCCAAAGGATGGGCCAAGTGCTGGATGCACCATGATCACATCGATGCTGTCCCTTGCTATGAAGAAGCCAGTGAAGGAGGATATTGCTATGACTGGTGAAGTTACATTAACGGGGAGAGTTCTCCCAATTGGCGGGGTACGCGCTCCATTGAATGTTCAGGGATTAGGGTTAATTATGGAGACACTCCTGTATTGTCGCCAAACTGAACTTACACCCTGAGAAGGTTCAAAATTTTCTCACTTGGGGTCAATCTGTAACAATAGAACTACAAGGGTAGTAAGTTCAGTTTGTTGATAGTACAGGGGATCTGTCTGCAATTAACCCCAGGGATTATCCCTTACTCTCTTGTTGTTACTTATGCCATTATTTTCTATTTTTTCTGTGATATCATAGAAATACATTTCTTATTTCTTTTTGGACAAATGATCATTTCACCCATAAAGTATTGGTGAACTCTCAAGTTGATGCCTACTTTCCCCCTTAAACTATGTATGTGGCCAATGTTTTCATTTTGTGAGTCTACACTCAAATATTATGCAGATTAATAATGGATTTTTTTATTTTTTACAATTTAAAATTTTATTTCAATTCATTAAAAGGGTTAAAGGGTAAAAAGTTTTGGGGAAAGCAGTTAAAAATGCTTTTTAGAGAAAAAGGAGACAAACTGATAAAAAACCATGAAGTAATATAAAAAACACTATCAAGTCATTGATTTGTAAAATATTTGACTGAAGGCTTACAAAATGATCACATTGAAACCACAAACATAGGTAAATTGAAACTTTATGGGGAATTTGAGAGCTCACCAATACTTCTAGGATGAGTTAGTTATTTTTCTCCCTTGTTTTTGGTTGCATGAATTATAAAGCTGAAAAACTGGGGAATGTCTGGTATCTTCCTGGAAAACAGGGTGCTTTATCTGCAACAATAGAACTACAAGTGTAGTACAATCTGCAACAGTACTGTTGTTATTAATAATATGTAAATGGGCTTATTTGTAAGTTGTGTTTGTAGGGGCCTATATAAGCCCAAGTGAACTCAACAATAAGATTAGTGTTTTTACTATTTTCTTCATGGTATCAGAGCCTAGACGCCGCTAACCCTAACCCAACCTAGACACCGGCCAAACCTACCCCTCCACTGCCACCACGCGTCGGCTGCCCGCTGCTGCCCATTGCCTTCCCGCTGCCAAACGTGCTGCCGTTGCTACACGTGCCGCTGCCACCATGCGCTGTCGCTACCCTTTGCCCGCTGCTCATTGCCTGCACCCCCTGCTGTCCTTTGCCGCTGCCCTTTGCCTGCACCCCATGTTGCCCTTTGCCGCTGCCCTTTGCCGCACCCCGCTACCCTTTGCTTGCATTCGCTGCCCTCCCAACCCTAGTCGCTACCCCTCCCAACCCTAGATGACGTGTAGCTTGTTGGATTCCTTCGACATCTCAGTCATAGAACTAATGAGAGGATGTGTAGTTTGTTCGACTTCCTTGATATTTCGATCCTAGAACTGATGAGAGGAAGAATGTATATCTCACGGTGTTGAGATATATCACTGTCGATTCTTGTTTCCTTTGAGAAACAAGAATTTAGTTATCTCACGGTGTTGAGATATATCACTGTCGATTCTTGTTTCCTTTGAGAAACAAGAATTTAGTTGAGATCCTACTCTTGTTGTGCAGCAGAAGTGTGTCGATTCTTGTTTCCTTTGAGAAACAAGAATTTAGTTGAGATCCTACTCTTGTTGTGCAGCAGAAGTGTTGCCGAATTTTTCATTGCGCACAACAAGGAAAGGAGAACAAGTGGTTGATTTAAACTCTGATCGACGGAGGTCTTAACTTTGATGCAGCTGAGGAAGTTGTCGGCTGGTGAGAGTGCGACAAGGCCACCGAAAAAGTTGGAGCTTCTACCCATCGATCTGAAGCTTGATGGACCAGCTACTTACCTAAGTTGGTCACGACGGGTAAGATACACCATTGCAGGGAAGAACCTGGAGGGGTACTTGACAGGAGAGATGACAGAGCCGATTGAAGGCTCAGTTGAAAGAGATGAGTGAAAGTCCACTCATATGTTGGTGTAAAACTAGCTCCTCAACTCATTGGTCTAGTCGATCGCCGCCACAGTAGATAGCATTGGGAAGATGATGGATGTCTGGGAGAAGTTGAGGAGAACCTATGATGGTGTGGGAAATAACCTAAGGGTGTTCCAGATCAAGGGAGAAATTGATACCACAGTTCAGGGAGAGAGGACTGTACAGGGTTATGCCACAGAGCTGGAGCGCCTGTGGATAGATTATGATCACTTCTCACCTCAGGCGAGCTGTAAGGACCCGGAGTGTAAGGAGCGAGAGGCCTTTCTACAGAAAAAAACTATGGTGTTTCTCAAGGGGCTGACATTGGAGTTTACTCAGAGGACTGCATTGCTGCTAACTCAGCCGAAGATTCCCACACTTGAGGAGGCAGTCTCGGCTATGATCTAGGAGGAGACCCGCATTAGGCTACAAGCGGGGACATGTGGACTTTCTGTAGTGAAGTCAGCACTGACATCCTCCAACTCTGGATCCAAGGGACACTCGGCAATGCTATAACTGCGGTGAAGTGGGTCATTTAAGGCATGCTTGCACCAAGCTACCAAAGGAAGGAGATTCGGGTGGTCGTGAACAGTTTGGAGGTCGTGGTCGTGGCCATGGCCGTGGGGGTCGACGAGGTGGAAGAGGAGCATGCAACCGGGCGAATCTGATGGTAGCAAAGGGAGAGGAAGCACCTGATGTGGTCTTTACTGACGAGGATCATGCGTTTCTGGAGATACTCAGGAAGAAGCAGAGAGTAGCAGGAGATGGAGACAGAAGGAGTGGGGCTGAGGAGGCATCCACTTTGTTCTTCGCCAGAGGCAACACTGCTACTTATACTCATCCGACCAAATGTACTGATGACATACATGCTCTTGCTTCTGTATCCCCCGATAGGTCATCAGAATGGATAGTCGATTCAGGTGCGTCTCGACATGTGACAGGTAATGCTAGTGAGTTCTCATCATATACTCACCTAACATCGGCTGATAGTATTCAAACAGCTGATGGTACATTTCAGTCAGTGGTTGGTAATGGTACTGTCAATTGTATAGATTCGGTAACTTTGTCCAATATTTTACATGCTCCTTCCTTTCCAGTCAATCTCTTGTCCATTAGTGCTATCATACTCCAACTAAAATGTATTGTTTCTTTTGACATTCCCAAGGTGATCTTCCAGGAGAAGGGGATATGACGGAGACTTCGGACTGACACATGAAATAGCGGACTGTGGTACCTGGATCGTGAAGGGCTGGACTCAGCGTTGGTATCTATGGTAGAGAGAGCAGGAGTAGGATCTGAGATGAGTGTTGAGAGTATGTTGATGCTTCATCACCAGCGCTTGAGACACTCATCTTTTAGTGTTTTAAGTAGGTTGTATCCATCTTTATTTGAGAAAGCAAATAAACAGAAACTTATGTGCGATACATGTGAGTTTGGAAAGCTTACTAGAAGCTCTTATGTTAGTTCTGGTCATAGGAGTTCTTGTGCATTTGACCTGATACATTCAGATGTTTGGGGGCCTTGTTCCACAAGTTCTATGAATGGATACAAATTTTTTGTTACCTTTATTGATTGTTTCTCTCGTGTTACTTGGTTATACCTGATGAAAAATAAGAGTGAAGTGTTTGGTTGCTTTCAAAACTTTCATAGGTATGTTCAGACTCAATATGGAGCAGTGGTAAAGGTATTGAGGGTCTGATAATGGGACAAAGTATACCAACAGAGCATTTGAGAAATACTTGTCAGCTCAGGGAATACAACACCGGACTATATGTCCATACACACCAGCTTAGAATGGGGTAGCGGAGAGGAAGAACAGACATCTTTTAGAGGTTACTAGAAGTATGATGATCTCCATGAATGTCCCAGAAACATTATGGGGGCAAGCAGTATTGACCGCAGCGACGCTAATTAATAGAATGCCCTCGAGAGTGCTGGATTGGAAGTCTCCATGTGAGACGTTAAAAGGAGATAATGGTGGGCTTCTTCCACTAAAGGTGTTTGGCTGTTTGTGCTTTGTGAAGGACAACAAACCTTCCGTCGGGAAGCTTGCCTCTAGAACGGTAAAGTGCATCTTTGTGGGATATTCTGCTACTCAGAAGGGATATGTTTGCTGGAGCCCGGTGGTAAAGAGGTTGTTTGTGAGCATAGATGTGCACTTTCGAGAACTCGAGTCATATTACATCCGGAAGGCAACCTCAGCCGTTGGTGACTCGCCCGATACTGGAAGTATGAGGCGAGAGGGGAAGAATGGTGAGAGTTAGTTGAACAATATAGAGAATAATGTGGAGAAATCGATTTTTCTATCAATTCCTTGGGAGGGAGAATTGGTTGATGAGGAGCAGGAGAATGAAGAAGAAGAGGAGAAGAAGACAAGAGGTGTTAGGCCCACGGTTCAGGGGGAATTACTTACCTATAGTAGGAAGGAGAAGCAAATTACAGGAACAGTACCTACAGTGTCATTGGTGTCAAGTCCCTTGCTACCGCTGTCCCGACTTCTGAGACACCACCACCATCACCAGATTTCTCTCAAGGTGATATCATTCCTCTAATTACTCCTCCCACACCAATGTCAGTACGGAGGATTACTCGTAGCAATGCGAAAAATCCTCCCGATAGATATGGTTAGGAGCTTACCCAGTTTGTATCATATTCTAATATCCACCCTGCACATGGAGCATTCATTGCATCATTAGACTCTGTTACTGTACCTAACAATTGGCAGGTTGCTAAGGACCCAAAGTGGAAAGCGGCTATGCACGAGGAGCTAGGGGCTCTTGAGAAGAACCGTATTTGGGAGTTAGTAAAATTACCAGAAGGGAAGAGAGCAGTTGGATGCAAGTGGGTCTTCACTGTGAAGCAGAATCCATATGGATAAGTTGAGCGCTACAAGGCTCGTCTAGTGATAAAAGGGTACAATTAGACATATGACATGGACTACGATGAGACTTTTGCACCGGTAGCGAAGATGAGCACTGTTCGGACCTTGATCTCTCTGGCAGTAAATGGTGGATGAAAGCTACACCAACTAGATGTGAAGAATGTATTTCTTCATGGAGATCTAGTGGAAGAGGTATATATGGAGATACCACCATGATTCGACACAGATGAGATAGCGGGCAAGGTCTGCAGATTGAAGAAGTCTCTCTATGGGCTAAAGTAGTCTCCTCGTGCTTGGTTCGACAGATTCAGGCGGACTATGATAGCTATGGGGTATCAGCAGATTAACGCTGATCATACCGTGTTCTTTCGACGGAATGGAGGCCATATTACCATGCTTGCGGTATATGTGAATGATATGGTTATTACAAGGGATGATGAGAAGGAGATTGCCCAACTCAAAGTGAGACTGAGTAAGGAATTCGAGGTGAAAAATCTTTGTTTGCTTCGATACTTTCTTAGGATAGAGATAGCTTGAGGAGCGGAGGGGATTGTCCTCTCTTAAAGGAAGTATGCTCTGGATCTTCTCAAAGAGACAGTGATGTTAGGATGCAAACCTGCAACTACACCGATCGATCAGAAGTTCAAGCTGGGTGCGGAGGCTGGAGAACCAGTTGATCATGACAGATACCAGAAGCTGGTTGGCAGGTTGATCTATTTGAGTCACACACGTCCCGATATCTCTTTTGCAGTGAGCGTGGTGAGTCGTTACATGCATGATCCGAGGAAGGGTCATATGGACGCAATGTACTAGATTCTGAGGTATTTGAAGAATGCCCCCGGAAAAGGGTTGATATTCAGGAAGAATGAACATGTGAGCATTGAGGGTTATTGTGACTCTGATTGGACTAGCTGTGCTGATGACAGGAGGTCCACCTCAGGATACTGCATCTTTGTAGGAAGCAACTTGGTCTCGTGAAAGAGCAAGAAGCAGTCAGTGGTGGCGAGATTAACAACTGAAGCAGAGTATAGAACTATGACCTTGGGAGTTGCGGAGTTGTTGTGGTTGAAGAGTATGTTGATAGAGCTGAAGTTGGATCAAGGAGCCAAGATGAAGCTGTGGTGTGATAACAAGTCAGCCATCAGTATCGCCAACAATCCCGTGCAACATGATAGAACTATGACCTTGGGAGTTGCGGAGTTGTTGTGGTTGAAAAGTATGTTGATAGAGCTGAAGTTGGAGAGCCAAGATGAAGCTGTGGTGTGATAACAAGTCAGCCATCAGTATCGCCAACAATCCCGTGCAACATGATAGAACTATGACCTTAGGAGTTGCGGAGTTGTTGTGGTTGAAAAGTATGTTGATAGAGCTGAAGTTGGATCAAGGAACCAAGATGAAGCTGTGGTGTGATAACAAGTCAGCCATCAGTATCGCCAACAATCCCGTGCAACATGATAGAACCAAACACATCGAGATCGATAGGTTCTTCATCAAAGAGAAGTTGGACAGTGGACTACTAAAGTTAAGTCATGTTCCAACTAAGGATCAGACAATGTTGAGGAGTGTTGATATATTAATAATATGTAAATGGGTTTATTTGTAAGTTGTGTTTGTAGGGGCCTATATATGCCCAAGTTATCTCAGCAATAAGATTAGGGTTTTCACTATTTTCTTCAAGTACAAGTGTTGTATGTTCAATTTGGCGCTAGTAGAGGTGTCTCTCTGTAATTAACCCCAGCGGTTATCTCCCGTATTCTCTTGTTATTAACTTATGACAGTATTTTCTGTTTTTTCTGTGATATAATGGAAATATATCTTATTTCCTTTTTGTTACATTATTCATAAAGCTGATAAACCGTGGAATATCTTATCTCACGCTAAGTATGGGATTTGCCACTTTCTTGTATTTATTAAGCTGATTTGGGTTTTTGTTATAATCTAACAGGTCAAGGAAAAAACAATTGCTGCAAGGAGAAGTGATGTGAAGACTCTCATATTCCCTTCAGCTAATAAAAGAGATTTTGATGAGCTTGCTAACAATGTGAAGGAAGGACTTGAGGTTCACTTTGTAGATGATTACAGCCAGATATTTGAGTTGGCTTTTGGAATTACAGCGGAAGCAGAAAAGTAAACTTGCAGGTGTTTGGTTGCCTTGTTACAGTTCTCCCCCCTTTTCTTTTCGATTTTTAGGCCAATATTTCTTCAGACTTATCTCAAAAGCATATTCATTATGTTGGCTCCTGAGTTATATAGATGTTGCGTGCTGTCAGAATTCCTGGTTTTACCATTCAGTCGCTTTTGTCCTTTTGATCTTATTTTTGGTGGGTAGAATTTACAGTATATAGGTCCATTTTGACATCAAGAGTGAGGCAGCATTATAGAGGATATGAAATTTTTTTCCCCCAGCATGTATACTAAATTCTGTATCAGACTGTTTCAAATCAAAGAAGAAGAAATTGAACAATCTTTGCACTGTTTTTTTATTGTAACAACATCAGCAGTTTTTCTGCATCATTGATCATCGAATACAGTGATGATCTTGTAACCGTTGTTGAAATATTCGTAATATGCTAATATTTGTAAACATTTTCTATCATGCCAGTCTCGAGAAGTTATTTGGATGAAAAGCGAGAGTTGCAAATCAATAATAATACAGTTTACTGATCTGATTTATTCAAAATTTGGTTCTGCTTCAGTAAGCTTTCTTACTAGCGCGTATCATTCTTTCCAGATGATTTAAACTCATCACTCACAGGCTTTTGAGCAGGACTGATGCCTTCATCGCCATCGCTTTGCTGAATAAGTTTCCAATGAAATTGGCTGCATTGGCCGTATTGGTGATGATTCTAATTGTGATGCGAGAAGTGGAGATGACCAAGACGAAGACTTCTGCCGACGTGTGTACAAGTCAAATCATATTTTGTGTATGATGCATTAAAAAAATGGTCAAATCCCAAATGTGAAGCACATGTTCATTTGCCCTAATCTTGTCTCAAAATCCTGCATGTATCTTCTTCTAGCCATCACTGTCGCCGAGCGTATCGTCCGCTTCAAAATAAAAAAAAAAGAAGTGGGGGAAATTGGATTTGAATTCTATTTTTGTGACTGAAAGGTGACTAGAGTTCCAAATGATCATGGGGCCAACATTGTCATCATTCCTCAACCTGTAAAGGTTCCTATCTCACTGGAGGGTTCTCCACACAGAGCTCAGGATAAAAAGCAAATGCGAAAAGAAAATGGTGGACCCAGGCGTATCCATTTGAGTTTCGATTCATTACCACTATGCTTACACAATTATGCGAGTATTAAATTTGGATTAAGATTGGAGAGTGTCCAATCATATATTAATCGTATATTAAATTTGGATTAATATATGATGCATCATATATTAATCATATCCCTCTATTCCAATTCTAACGGCTGAGAAGCTGGCATATGATTCAAATAAGACAATAGTAGTTTTCAAGATAATATTTAGAGTGAAGGATGAATATTAGAATAATTGGACAAGCTTCAATGATCATGTATCTGGATCCCGACCCATTAAATTTAGTGTTTAAGGGTCTTATTTTTAACACTACTGCTACAGATTTATGTGTTGAAGCTGATTAATGTTTACACAGGGTAAGGAATGGTTGTGGATCTTCATAGATTGCTCAGTTTAGAATTTGGGCTTCTCCACATCCCACGTTTGATGACATATTTTTGCCGACTTTTTTCGACACTTTTTGGAAGGATTAGATTCTATATAGCTAGTGATCTGCTGATGTGGATGGGTGGCTAGGGGTCGGCTAAGTAAAGTAGGAAGAAGAAGATCATCTTGATAACGACACTACTTCCCGTTAACAGGCTAATTATCTCCTAACACATTGGCTAATTGTGCCGTTCCGAAAGAATATTCTCCTTAAATTTCCGAGCAGTTTCCGGTATGAGAATAAATTTCCCAAATCTTATAAAATATCCTCCTGCCCCCTTCGCTGCACTCCGTTTTTTATAAAAAAAATTTTCAACTATGAAACTTCAGGGTGTTTAGTGAAGTTTAGCAGATCTACTAAACTTTACGGGAGTTCAACTCCCGTGAAGTTTCGGAAATTTTTGTTTTTGTAATTTTTTTAATAGGGATGATTTTTGAGAATAAAAGTCTAAATTGGTCGGTTTTGAAAATTTGTCCTTTACGGTATGAGAATAAATTTACCAAATCTTATAAAATATCCTGCACCCTCCGCGGCACTCCGTTTTTATCTCTTCCCCTGTTCTTGAAACAGAGCGCTCACCTGCCCTGCTCTCTCTTCTCCTACCATCTCTTGTTTCTTTCTTCTTTCCCTCTCCTCCTCCCTTACTCAAAGCACACGAAAACATTGGTTTTGATCCGAGTTTAAAGTCTTACCCTCGTTTGAAAGCCGGAGACTGTTCTCCACTTCTCTTTCTTGTATAATCTTCCAAATCTCTTTCTTTCCTTCCATTGTTTTGTTGATCATATGGAAAATACTGACCCCATATTTTTTGTTCTTTCGTTATTTTTCTCTTGGTTATTCTTGTTTAGGTGCAAAGCTGATTTGATCAGGAGCTTGTCATGATAAAGAAGATGGTTGAGAATTATGGGCCTGCTGAGGGTCTACGTGGGATGCATACCTGTCCAGATATAGGACGGTCGGGATCGAACGAAGAAATTCATCCTGTGGAGGCGAAAAGGTCCAAGGTTTGTATTCTTTTGAGCTTCGAAGATGATCCTTAGCATAACAAACCATGAAGGTTTTAGTACATCTCTTGCTTTTCTACTCGTAAGAGTTCAAATGCTTTTGCATGTAAATTTATATATATATATATATATATATATATATATATATATATATATATATATATATATAACTAAAAAAAAAATTGCATCAGATTGAATGTTGTACTAATTTCGAGGTAAGCTGACTAACTTTTTGGTGTTATGTTACATTTTAAAAAGTTTTTGGTGTCATCTCAGAATGGCCAAACGTTTAGGGTTTATGTGAACTTTACCCTGAATTATATATGACCTCAAATTATTATTATTATTATTATTATTATTATTATTATTTAAAAAAAAAATTCTCTGTGAAGTACATCTCATATTTTTCAGTAACAAAGGCACCTTATCCTTCTTAGATGAATTTAACAATTGTGTCTTTCAGATTAACACGCACATAAATTATGCACCAGGGGGATTTAGTCCTCTAGGCCTGAGGTTAACTAAAACTCCGTCCTTCGCGGAACTCATAGAAACAAAGCTATGTAAGCAGACTCCCAGCGCTTTAGAAAAAAGGATGAAGAGAAACAAAGCTCATTCTTCAGCTGAGAAGTTGAAGGCTTGTAATATGCCGGCATTTTCCCTCCAAATTGGTTCTTGGAAGGTAAGGTATCCCAACTACAAAAATGGAAGCCTTTGCATAAATATAATGTACATACTTTTATTTGAATAATGTTTTTCTATTGACAGAGGGTGGCATCATTTGATGGTGATGTGGTGGCTAAATGCTATTTTTCCAAGCAAAAACTGGTGTGGGAGGTTTTATGTGAAGGTTTGAAGAGTAAAATGGAGATCCAGTGGCTTCAAATATCTGCTATTAAAGCTACATTCATCGAGGGACGTCCTGATAGTCTCAAAATTGAGGTTCAGCTTCTAAAAAATGTTTATTACAATATAAATGCAAACAATTTCATCTCATAATTGATTCAACGCTCTAAGATGTTACTACGACATTTGACAGTTGGAGAAGCCACCAATGTATTTCCGCGAATCTTCTCCACAACCGAGAAGACATACTATGTGGGTTTCTGGCAATGATTTTACAGAAGGCCAAGCTCAGATATACAGGTAACTGCAATTAATCGTAGAACTGATTATTTAGTTATTAAAAGGCTTCTTTGATCTCTTCAGAGATTAGCATTGTATGTTATGCATTGCGATTTTTTTTTTCAGGAGACATATTCTACAATTTCCCGAAGGAACTCTAGAGAAACATTATGAAAAGCTTCTTCAATGCGATCCTCGGCTTTATGAATTGAGTCAGAGGCCTTTTCCAGACCTCAATTCTCCATTTTTTGATATGATTCCTATCAAGCAGAATATATATTATCAACAATCTGGAAACTTATTTCAAACCCAACAAGTTCTACATCGAGTACCTCTTATTGCTAATACGAGCTTGATAAGCTCACCAAGTCGACATACTGTTCCATATCAATCTACATCATCATCCATCAATGCTTTGAATTCTGTGTATTCATTTCCAATGGGAACAATAGACAGGAGGAACATGAGTATGGCCCCAAACCCAGGTACTTTAAAAAAATTTACTTGTGAGGTGACGTTACTTAGTAAAGATTGTTTACCTGATCATATTTTCCCTTCATCTTTTTGCATTTAGTTATGAACTCTCAACGTTCCAACAAGGAACTTTCAGTGCACTCGGGTAATTTATCAAAACAATTGTTTTTAGCTAAATTTTCCTTGTTTAGTCAATTTATTGTTCAATACATCACATAAAGATAACAATTTCTTTACCTGAATACAGTCGATCCTGCAACGAGCTCTGGCCTCGATCATAACATTCTTGTATGGAATCAAGGAGTACAGAACATAAAAGATTTCACTAACCTATGGAACGAACAACTTGATTCTATTGCTCACATTAATCAACAGTCAATCGGAATAAATTCAACTGCGCATAAACTTTTCAATGAACCACAATCACCAGTAAAGGCCGATGAGAAATCTCTCCTTGTCAAGGCGAGCTCTTTTGGGTCTACTCTTTGTGAATTCAATGGAGTAGCACAAGAAGCTCCAACACCAGAAGATGGAGAATATAATCTCAGCAATCCTAACATGTTGATGGTACCCAAAGTCTATAACAGAATTGATGTACACGGGAATGGAGCGCATACTCTCAGTGATTCAAGTTCATCAATGGAGCCAATTCCTTGCTATCAGAATACTGATATCCTATCAGATAGTTTTATGTTTAGACCATGATATATAAGGATATAATTTTGTTAAAGGCG